CCTGACTTTAAAAGGAATGCTGCACTGGTATGCCACTATTCAAAACGTGAACAAAATTGTATACTATAAGTGCCAATAACACCAGTCAAAAAGTCCTTGGGAAAGTTCCTGAATGAATTACTTCTCTGATGGTATAAAATGAGATTTTTTTTTTTTCCATTGCCTATCAATACCAGACAAGCTTCAGCAAGGCTGCAGTGCATATATATATATATATGCATATATGTATACACATATACATACATGTGTGCACGCATACCTGCATTCCCCATATATACAAATAGGTAGGATCAATAGAGAGGGACAGGAATAATCAGTTTTCAAAATTAATGTTTGTTTCAGAAAATTAAACATTAAATAACATGAGATTATAAATAATCAAAACATATATTGACATATAAAGTCAAGACATGGCTGCAAAATGAACATGATAAATGGGAATATAAAGTAGTTCAAAACAAGGGAAAAACCTAATAAATTGAAGGATCCAATTCTGCATTCTGTCTCACTTAAATTACCCAAGTTCAACTGAAGCAGAAGTAATTTAAGGCTTTCATTACAAGAGAAGCAGGTTAGGGGGTCCAAAAATGAAATCTGCTGCTGCCATTTGAAATAGAGCACACAAAAGAGCTAAACAGGTTTGAACTCACCCATGCATTTCTCAGACAAGCAGAACCCACTGCTGTGGCTTTATATTTTAAAATCACACTCCAAAACCAGTGAGCTCATTGCCCTTATGGGGGGCTCTCACACTAGAACACATAACAGCTGAATCCTTGCTAACAATACAACTGACAGACTTTTTAAAACAGTTCCAACAGCATTAGTTAATATAAGGGGCGCTTGAGCTTTTTTGGAGCTACTATGAGCAGGGGGACAACTGACACTGTTAAACATGTACCTCATGCACCTGAGTAAATAAATAAAAATTAGTGAAAGAGGGGAGTATTTAAAGGATCTCCTCACTACCCATGAAAAGCTAACTCAGCAACCAAGAGAAATAATGATTAAGACACAGAAAAAAAAATACAACCTTCACAATAGTCCTCATATAGCCAAATGAGTCTAATAAGCACAAATAGAAGAACTTAAAAACAAACATTGGTCTACACAAGATATAGAGTGTGACAGCCAATACACTTGAGAAGCACAATGAGCTGAATTAACTCCACAGTGACTGGAATCTGTACCCCGTATCAATAATTACACAAAAACAATCCTCCCAAAGCTAGGTATGGGCATGAGAACTGCAGTGGCATACTCTCTGAAGGTCTCTGATGACTGTATCTTTCTCCCATGCAAATGCAGCACTAAGTATTCCCACAAGGAATATGCTATATACTAGCCCACAAGGACACATTCAGCACTTAATAAGCTTCAGGAAATGCTCATGTCTTCTTACCTCCATTCCCACTAAGGCTATTGAAGCCTTTTTGATAGCAATGGGTGGGCAGAATAATTCTGGCAAGACTAGCTGGAGACCTGAAGTAGAATACCAAGATACCCATTTCCTTGAACTGACAGTTACCTTGCTTATACTTCTATTGTATCCTCTTGCCAAACAGAAGATAATTCAATATCATTGGAAAAATAGGGTTAACATTTTAAATAAGCACTTCAGCTATTAATTGGCTCACATTAACAATCAACTAGGCTAACATAACAAACAATTCTTGTTACTCAAACTGGCGTCATTGTAATGAGCTCCAAATTAATCTCATCCGTACACAATCACTAATCTTGTTGTGTGCCAACTGAATTTTTAATCAGAACGGAGTGAATCATAGGTTGTTTTTAAAATACATTTCTAATACTTGTCATCCAAAGTGAATAAACACTAGAGAGGAAAGAACTTTTCTATTTACATTCTGAGAAGCTGATTTTATTTATGCATACTATACATGCAAGTATTAAATGCATTTGATAGGAAAACACTCTTAATGACAGTAAAATGTAAAAATGTTTCTTTTTAATAACTATTTGAGCATGAACAGAACCACCAACCTAAAGAATTTAGCCTCCTGACTGTAATTAAAACTGTACAACAAACCAAAAGGAGCACTTGCCCCACTGTTGAAGTGCTCCACAATGCCGACATCATCAACAAGATCAGCACGCAAACAAGTAGACCCTGAGTCCAGCAGAGTAACCACTATTGCTAAGATATGTAATGAAGCACAGCCTTTGCAGTGCTGAACTTGAGACTCAAGTTGAGTTTCAAATCCAAGTGACTTTAATGTTTGTGCAAGACACAAAAGCAAAGCTAAATTTCAATGAGCATTTTCAATTTGATTCTGCAATTGCAGTATCCATTCAAGAAAGCATTAGCCCTGCTTATAAAACAAGAGTGCTCAACACATTTCTCTACTGCTGAAATACTGGTCTAATCATTAAGGAATTCTCTGGGGAAAAAAAAAAAAAACAAACAACACAAAACATGAACTATTCCTCTAGAGCATTCACTTTTTAGAATGCAGTATTTCTGGAATCTTGCTTTAGCTGCCTAGCTAATGGCTGCTTAACTGAATGCCTATTACCATGCTCAAATGAAAACCTAACTGGAAGCTTTGCCCATGGCCATGGAAACTGAAGAGTGACTGAAACTATCTGCATCACAGCCATTCAAATGTCTTGGGGGATGCCTACTGACAGCCTCCATTAGAGCCACATGAGTTTGAGGAATCTGGAGTACCTGGTTCTCCTTTCATGCTAAGCATAATGCCTGACTCAAGCCATCTAACAACATGTGGCGACTTCTTAAAAAACAAGACACTCAGACAGATGAGACCAGTGCATGCAGGCTCAATGTCTGAATTCCCACATATGCAATGGCACATATTATTTAGAGAATGTGCTCCTCCTTGAATAACATCTACATCTACATTCTGTGCATGGTAGATTCTGTTTGGATTGCCAGGAACTGTTGCATCAGAAGTATTTGAAGGCTGCTCAAGATTAAGAGCACTGAATTATGGTCAATGTGCTAATCTGTATTTTACTTCTAGTCAGTAGACAGCTATGTTAACACATTTAAGAAGTCTGCTAATATCTTAGAATTCAATTAAAATTATCTTCATTAAACAGCTCTCACATTTGTAGAAAGAAGGGAGCTATTCAAAGACTTAACAGAATAAGCAAGTTATTGTTGATACAACATTCTGAAGAAAATATCTACAAACCATATGGAACTTTAAACAGTGAATGCAAAACTAAAGGTACACGATGTAGACCACAGCTGCAAGGTGGAAATAACATCCTCCAATACCATCAGGACAAACTGAAGGCTACATTTACATAGTGAATGCTTCAGCAAGGCATAATGGCCAAAGAAACACTGTTGGCTTGCAGATTTCTTCTTTGGTTAGTTCTAATTACTTTCAAATAGTCTGGTTAATATCTCATTATATAAGAAGAAGCAAATGGCTCTTCTGAGTTGCTTTCCAACAAAAAAGACAAGAAGTTTTTTCTGTGCTTAGGCAGAAGAAATGCAACACTCCCAGAAAAAGCATCATTAATGAACAATGTAAGAAAGAAAGAAAAATAAGGATGTTTTTATCTTTGCAGGTTTTCCAGTAGATCACAACTGTTAATGACTTCTTTTCACATGAGAAATATGGCACTGTACCACTCTCAGCAAGCTTCTCCATCTGAACAGCATTTCTGCAAGATGTCCCAAATTATTTAATATCTCATTTGCAATTTGTTATTAATTTCTGTTTTCCAGTACATTAAAAGGTGTTTCTCTTCTTTTAATATCAACTATAAAAAGTAGTTGCTAATGTGAACACTTCTCACGAGGTTGTAAGAATGTGAAGGTTGTGAAACAAATAAGAAAAAGAGGAAAATAGAATTGGTACATAAACAAGTGTGAAAACAATTCCAGAACTGCCATAGAAAGAAAAACCTTTTTTATAAACTAGTGTAATGAAATAGCTGTTCATCAGCACCATGCCTCCTATGCAAAGCAGTTTGCAAGCTTAACAGCAAAGTGACCAGGAGAAAAAACGAAATATGACATTCACCTTTTAAAAGTTCTATTAGGTATGTTAAAAAGAATTACTAAAACCAATTCTTTTGATCTTTGTGTATAACTTACTGTAAAGTGAAAGGTAAAACCCAAACCCAGCACTTGTTGTGTCACACATCAAGGACATGTTCAACCTCCATCATGACACCTGTACCACAGCATGACAGCTGTGACCGACTTCCTTTGGGGACCTCTGGAGATCTGCTCACAAAGCACAAGAGGAGCTGCAGGGGAGGGCTCTGCACTGTCTCTTTAGTAACTACTAGTAAGTTTTGAGATGGAGCAGTATTGTAAAAGCACAAGCACTGATAGCTTCTTCAAACAAGGCTTTACTACTTGAGGCTACCTGTGACTAGTGAACAAAATGCTTGGTTTCAGGTTGTGGTGTTTCTCCTTCTCTAGTAATAAGGCTGTCTAAAGGTATTTTCTCATTAATTTTTGTTCCTTTCACCTTTTAGAAAGTCATTTCTTTGTCTAGATAACCCTAACACACATGAGCAGATAGCTTTCTTTAATACAGTGGTTCCCATAGCATATTAACTAGATATATACTTCCTCAACAAAAAACAAAAATCAACAGTGTGACACCAAATTACACTTCTTTATTTTAGAGATAAATGCTTTTAAACACACAGTTTATGAACTTTTTTCCTGAGACAGATCATTTAAGATGGTCATATATTAAACAGACATATTTTTACAGATATTCTAAGTAACTAAAGGTAAAGTAAATGGCAATATTGTCTTGATTCAAATGTTTTAAACTTTGTGCCCCCTCCTCCTTCCCCCCCATTTATGGATTAAACTTTAAATTACTTTAGAAAGCAATGTGTTTACACTCAAAATATCAGCGAGATAAAAGGTGTGTATCTTTTTTAGTTTGCATTGTTATAAAATTGCTGTTCCTGAAGCTATTCTAAAACAGCAAAGTCTCTCTGCAAGGTGTAAGGTTCTCAAACAGTAAAGTACTTACATGCAAGGCAGAAGGATCTGGCAAAAACTCAGCATCCTCTCCAAAGATAAAATCTGGTGGTAGGTCAGGATAGTGAGCATTAAAAATTATATCCCCTGAAAAGCAACAAATGGAAATGTTGTTTGCACTTTTATATATGTGCTTATAAATAAAAAATAAAATAATCACATACAACACCCATTTTTTAACACAGATTTTGACAGCTGCATTACATATATTTCATGTATATATCCATATAATTTTTACAAAAATTCATATGCAAGATAAGCATCAGATGTTTTGGGGGATGAAGTCAAATTCCTGAGGTGCAGCTTCTTCCTCCTCTGCAAGCAATGAAACATGAAATACATTATTTCTTTGTATCTCAATTGACAATTCAAACACTATTGAGGCTTGGCTCAAAACACCGAGGTAGGAAAGTGATCTTGTTTTAATAAAAAGTACCATATTTAGATGGGTGTGTTTTGCCTATTCAAAGTCAATTGCAAACTACAAAAGGTCACAACTTTTGAAATACCAGAGCTTTTAAAAATTAGTAGCATTTACTCCCTCTCTTCTCCTCACCACTGCCAACTCTTAGAAGGAAGAATACACAGTTCAATAGGAACCATTCCAACTACCCAAATTCTGGCTAAGAGAAATGCAGTATTGCACATTTAAATGGAGAGATGAAAATTAACTGAAAATATAAGACTTCATCACAGCTTGGCACTGAGATCTCATCTTGCCAGTGTCATAAGATATGCAATTAAAAGAAATTTGGGTTCTAGTATTTCACTAGTACACATACTTCAGAGTTCATATAGCTCAAGAGGAGGTCATATGCATCTGAGCTTCCAAAAAAGCCCACCCACTGTTCAAGAAAAAAATTTAAAAATAAAAATAAATGTTTCTAGCTTCACTTGTCTACCTTCCCATCATTCTTTATGACAATATGAAATAATTGAACTTTTGCATAAAGAAGATTTGTGAGGTAGGAGACATTAGAAAAAAAGACTGCCTTACTATGTGTTACGACTAATTTAAAATTCACACAGCAAAGTAAAACCAGCATGGTAATCCTTATAAACAATTCTGTTCAAGAATTTTTCATTTCTTAAAAAACTGTGAATGCAGAACTGGAGAAAAGCATTAGATGAACAAATCTTGCAAAGCCACATTTCTGGCTCAGTGATGTCACCACCTCCAGGCATTTAACATGACAGTTTTAAGTGCAGATAGTCTGTAAATTTTCTTGGCTTTAGCTGGAAGCAAGGATGCCATGAAGATTAATTGCAGGGGATGAAGTCTCATGAGCAAGAAGCCACTGGCCAGTCTGGGGTAGGAATTCTCTACAGTGTGGCTCCAAATCACAAATTCACTGAGCATGTGACGAGTAGAGCACAGTGTGGGTTTCTCCTGTCCGCACTCCCACCTTCCTTTCACAGCCATCAGGAGCACGTGTAAGTATGGGGTGCAGAAAATAGCAGAGGTCTGCCAGTTAAAATTCCCAACACACTCAAAACAAAAATAAAACCTTTCATTTAATTTGAATTTCATTTAAAAGAATGAAATGGGCACCAGTCCTGGAGGAAAAGGCACAAAATTGCAACAGGAAATGCATCTACATTAAATAAGAAAAATAATTACTAGATTAGCCTAAACTGTAATACAGCACTGAAGAATTCAAAAAAATTGATATTTACTAGCTTGGGTAGTTCCTACACCACCATGACACAACCCTTTTCTTGATATTTACTGCAATTAAAATGTCATGCATAACTCCTTTCAACAACCTCATCAATTTCTACATAAAGAGCAGTGAACTTGAGGTTATGTACTGAAGGAGATTCACCTTAATACATTCTTTGATTGAGTTTCGAAAGGGGCATGAATATGAGTTATAAATAACTCAGAAAACAGTACAATGATAAAGCTTGACCCATGACTTAGGCAGCTCAATGCTACTCCAAAGAAAAGGACTGTACCTGTGCTTCTGCCATGCTCATAAGTGATGCTAAGTCACTCATTTAGCACACATTTTTCATACTGCAGGTGCTAGCTGCATGCTTTTCATTCTCTGCATTCCTGCTTTAATAGAGCTGGTGAAACAAAGCAGATAAGATATATCTACTGCTCAGCTACATAAGAGCTGCTCTCCAACTACACACATACTAAAAAAAGCTGCTTAGACTAAAAGAAGGATCAAAATAACAGCGTATTTTTGATGTTACACCTCCATACTTGAGAAGCGAAAAACTATTACAGAACCCTACATCACAAGGCAGCTTCAAGACTCTGCTTGAGTAGTGAGACCAGCAATAAACCAGCTCCACCTCTACGAGCTGCCCAGTAAGGGGTGAACCTCAGCAAAGCTGTGGCAGTAGGTGCCACTTGGAGGTTCAAGTAGGCACAAACTCTTTCCTTTAGCAGAGTGAACTCACAGCAGCCCCCAGAACCCCATGATATGCAGTGCTCAATATAGCAGTAAATGAAAGCTGGCATTATGAGTTTAACATGCTAGGTGGTAGGCTTGAATAATCTGGGGTTCAGGTCAGCTGCATATGCCAGGCAATGATTAATGCTGGGGGATTGAGGACATTTGGACATGGTATCCTCTTCTGACCACTCAGCTGTGATGCGTGGTCACACTGAGGTCAGGTACATCACATTGCAGCTGGACAAACCCAATTTATTACCTGTCTCACATGCTCATATTTGTTCTTTAGACCTTCTGTCAGACCCCTTATTCCACTAAGTATCAGTGGCATTATGAGTCCTTACCCACAGTGGACCAGCTATGCAGATATTTGCATTTTAAAAGTGTTCATGACCTACTGATACCAAGGAACTATTCAGGTAAAAGGGACAGAATCCAGAGTAAAAATTACACTGTAATATTTGATTTTATGTTACTCATAATTATTTATAATTGCTAAAATTGCTTCTACTTGTACAGGGTAAACATGCCTCAAATCCAAATTCCCAAGTCTTTTCAATAAAAGTCACTTTGAGACCAAATATATCAATATTAATGCCAATGTGTATATCAAGATTATTTTCCCTATAGTGTATTCAATTTCCAAAAGGCCACATTTTATATAGCTAAATAATTTTTCCAGGCTTCAGAAGAATTAAAACTAGTAGTTCAGTGCCTGTTAATTATACACTCACAAACACTATTTCTGAGACCATACTCAAAATGTTTTACAACCCTACAGAAACAAAAAATTATGCCATTGCTCTTATGTTCTGACTGAACAGAAATGTACCATTTATGCCCTCCTTCCTACAGTACCATAGGTTTTTAGCCAAATGTAAACCTTAATTTATTCTGCTACAATCAAACCTCATACAGGCCAGCTGACAATTTAATAGAGACAAAGAAGTACAGAACAAAATGTTGTTTCCACTTCCATGTTAACAGTTAGAAAAGAGCAGTGATTTTCTATCATCAGTGGCTTTCATTCTGGAAGTTAAAGAAATCATCTTACTATTAAAGATTTGACCTTAGGACAAATTTTTAACATATTTAAAAATGAAAAAAGTAATTCCCTTAGTCAAATCTTATTCTATTAAATCTCATTTCTGCCATGAATCCAAAGACGTTCAGCTAGTTCCCAAAACAAAAGAAAAAGTAATCTTTTTTTTTAACCATATCAGACATCAATACACATCACCCCTAGTCCCTCCAACTTTCCTGTTCTGTGCTCTTCCCTTCCATACAGTCTCACCTATGTCTTGCTTAATTTACATACTAGAACAGAAAAGGTAACACCTCTGACCCTAAAAGGCTGAGGCACCAATGAAGGCATTTGCATGAGCTATTTTCCAGTTACAGCAGCAAAAACACACAGTAACAAATCGGACTACAGAGTAAGAGGATCCATCCTAAAGCTGAGTTTTGTTGCTAAATATCAAAACCCAGAGAAACTAAAACTGCAGTTATCAGCTTGCTTGGCAGGGTTATGACACATAAATAAAACATGCTTCATTACACTCAAATAAAAGGTATTTAAACAATCACAACAGCCAACGCAAATCTGCTTTTACTTCACGTAAATATTAACACTAGCCTCTGCAGTAAGCTCACAAAATATAAGGTGCTAAATGTTTTGAATCACAAGTTAACAGTTTGTCTTGACCTACTAGAAATAGCCATTTTTATAACAAGTACTGCATTTAATGTTTACATGGTATTATCTCTGTCTTACCCTCTTCAAATATAACTGGGGTAAATAATTAACCAATAAAGTCATTTGCAAAATTACTGTGCTTAGAGTTTGTGAACATTTACCATTCTAACCTTGGAGGAAAAAAACAATGAAAAAATCAATATAGTCCTGCATTCTCTGCTCTTCTCACCCAAATGACACAAATACCCTTTTCTTGCATCTCCAGCACAAGTTTATAGTTTTGCATATGCTTCAACTCTGTTTGTCCTTTTTCCCTTGATGGAAGGCCAACTGTGTGGTTCTCCACAGTACTACTGACCATGACTACTCCAGTGTAAGAGCAAGGCAAGTAAAAACCTTCACACTCCTCATTGTTGGAGATATACCAACCAATAATTACTTTGATGGAATTACATTTCCAATTATCCAAAAATATTACTTTCTTTTCCTTTCTTTCTCCTCAGGCAAACAGCATTAAATGTTGAAATGTTTTACTTCACAGAACTTCAAAAGAAAAGTTAATTTGCTCCCCACAGACAAAAAGATAGAAATATTAATACTTAAATCTGTAATTTCTTTTAAAACCCACATGGTCTGCTCTTTTCTCATCTATCAAAATGCATAAGCAATCTAACAGAGGAATAAGAACTGACTACAAGTAAGACAGGTATGTCTCAGCAAGAAAAGGAGAAATTTCTAAAATCCCTACAATTGCCTTCCACTGGCCTATCCAGTTCTTCTCTCCCAGTAACTTCATTTTTGGGGTATTTTTATTCTTTTTTAAACCATACTATAAATTTGTAGTACTGAAAAATGTTATGCTAGGAGTGCCACTGCATTAACATCCCTGTTTAACCAACAGCAGCAAAACTAGGAAGGAGCCCATCAGTTAACTTCCCAAACTCTACTTCTGAAAACATATCTATATGCTTCAGTTTCTT